GCGGGGGGGGGGGGGGGGTGGCAATAGGGATTTCGCCTAGGGCATCAAATTGGCTAGAAACGGCCCTGTATTAAGCAGTATATAATCAGTATATCTGTTGCTCATGAAAACGTTTCGGAAACATCTGTATATCTGACAAATATTGCATTTCATTCACTTTATCTGTGATAGAGTACACACCGCGTGAGCGTCCCTAACGGGAGCAGAAAGTGTCCAGCTTGACGGCTCCGTTTTCAACTCCGCCCCCGACTGCAAGCGGCTGCTCTCGTTGACTGCCGTCTGTAGCGGTGCTTCAAGTCGAACGCACCTAGAGTTACTGGCATGATTGAGAGCAAACGTGAGAGGCCACGGGCCTACGGCAGGGTGTGGCCAAGTAAAAAATTAAAAATCGCTAGTTTTATTTAAATATAGCTAAAATAGCTCCTTGTCGCAAAAAAAAAAAAAAAGTCGCAGCTATAATGAGAAAATAGCTAAATTTGGCAACAAAATCCCCAAATTGGCAACACTGATCCCGCTCTGCGTTAACGCGCGGCTGGCAGATTGCACCGGGTAGCACCGTTTCACACTTTTGGAGTAGCCTACTTGCTTTTTGCAGTTTCGCGTGGGCTGTAATTTAAAAACAGCGCCTAATATAAGGTCTCCCTCGCGTCGGCGATCGACCCACCGGGAATGTCCCGGTGCTCCCGATGGCTAGTAGCTACATCGCTGGGTATGTTCAAGTAAGCTAGATGCCCAGATGCTGCGCAATTAGGCTTATTTAATATATCATGATGAATCTCGAGTTCAGTATTTACACTAAATCTTCCTCAAGAAATTAATTAGTAAACATAATTTATGATAAGTAACCTGCCAAACTGGCTAGCGATTTGACAGCGTTTACCCGCCACAGCTGATTTTTACCCGCATTTGGCGGGTTGGCGGGTGTTAATTTCAAACCCTGTTGATAACATTTTTTTACTGTACTTCTCATTCCAAAACAACTCCATTTCATTCCAAATTAAATTATCTCATCTTCTACTCCTGCTGCATTATATTACATTTGTACAGGTATATTAACCTTTAATGGGCAAAAATAAAATAAATAAATAAAATGCAAATGTGAAAATAATGTGAATGTGGAACATGTTGCAATTACAGTGCAAATTTTGCATGTATCAGTGAGGCAATTGTGTAATTATGTATGTCTGATGACATATCTGTAATTTCCAAAATTAAAACAAAATAAAATATAAACAGTAAATTATGCATAATTATATGCAACTAACCCTAAACCAAACCCTAATATTAACGCTAATTGTATAGTAAGTACATGTTGTTAACTAATATTACTGTGTTTAAATATATAATCAATACTGTAACAAAGTCACCTTACTATAAAGTGTAACTCAAAACAAAACAATGTTTGTAATGGCACATATGCACAATATACATGGATAAATAAGGCAATTATGTAATAATTTAAATAATATCATGTAATAACTGAAACATTTTATATGCATATTGGCATGGTAACTGTACAAAGTCACAAAACAAAATAAAACAAAACAACCTTTAATGGCCAAAAATATATGAAAAAATTCTAACTTGAAAATAATGTGAACAAACAAAACAAAACAAAATGATGGTGAAAAATATATGAAAAAAATGCAAACTTGAAAATAATGCGAACAAACGAAACAAAACAACGATGGACAAAAATGTATGAAAAATGCAAACTTGAAAATAATGCGAACAAAACAAAACAAACAAAAAACAATGAAAACTTGCGAAATATATATGCAAACTTTGAAAAACTGTGAAAAAGTGAAAAGATAACCTATTTTGAAAAAAAAAAAAAAAAGACTATTGATGCCACGCTACTGCTGTAGTTTAGTTTCTGAAGTCACGATAGTGTCAGTCAGTTATCACACACTCTGTTAGAGCGTCACCTGTGAGGCAGGGATGTTCGGTGTGGTCTTACACTCAGCCAAAACCAGACTGTCTGTGCCGTGACTCTCCAGACACAAGCCACCCTGCTTCAGGAGACTGTACACCGCTTCCTGCTCTGGGATTCTGACAAACACAAGCAATGAAGACAAAACACGTTCAGAACGCACTTGAGAGCGTCCAGAGGTGCGTCCCAAATCGCGTACTTATGCACTATTCTGAGACGTTTTGTAGTATAACTAGTGTGAGTAGTGTGTTCACACTGAACATTCCAAATAGAAAAAGTGCACTTTAAATACCCGGATGATGCATTTAAAAAAACGAAAAAACAAAGTGTGGAATGTTGAACACTTCATGCACTCAACTGTCGCAGCTTTATTTACGTAGTGAAGGGGGAGGGGCTATCAGACTCTGTTTATGAATGTCAAAATAACCTTATATAATTCATACACTACATGGTTGAGTACATAGTGCATAAGTACATAGTGTATGAGTGCATAGTGTATAGTGCGTCATTTGGGACGCAGCTCAGGTTTGTCTGGCAGTCCATCAGAGCCCAGACACAGTCCAGTGAACGTGACTCACTTGAGTTCAGGATACACATTCTCAAGATACCAGCGGAAAGAGTTACAGTTCAACTTCTGTCTTAATGCAAGCCGATCTGCAATACTGTACAGAGAGACAGAGAGAGGTAAAGGAATAGTTCACCCAAAAATGAAAGAAAGAGACGTTTCGTAGAGTGTTCATTGAGTTTTTTTTCAATATAATGACAGCAGACAGTGACCAGAGGCTGTCAAGCTCCAAAAACCATAGAAGTAGTGCATAGGCCATACATTTTGTGCACTGTATTGATCATGAAATATTGTATGAGAATAGTATATACGGGTATATATATATAATAGGCCTAAATTTAAGATAGATGTATTTGAATTGCATATAAAATGTCCATCTATTTGGAATATACAGTTTTAACATGAACAAAATAATAAACATGATTCAAACAATAGAATATGTGATGCATATTTTTCAGTCATAAATAAATGATTTCTGCACTCCAAAAATCAAGGCATAGTTTATTATTAATTACTGCATCTATTTTGGTTTCGTTTAAATAATCATATGTTCAAAATGCATTCATTTATTCTCTATTAATTAGAATCTGCATAAATATGTTCAACGAGAAAACAATGATATTTATTCAGATAAAATATATAAACACGGTTATAGTTTATTATTAATTACTGCATCTATTTTGGTTTCGTTTAAATAATCATATGTTCAAAATGCATTCATTTATTCTCTATTAATTAGAATCTGCATAAAGTATGTTCAACGAGAAAACAATGATATTTATTCAGATAAAATATATAAACACGGTTTAAATATGACTAGCTGTGGACCAAGCAATATTCATTTAGACTGAAACAAAGTGGATTTATTGATGATAATCATAATAACCCTGGTTATTGTGTATTTAAAACACATTTAGTTTATTAGTACTATCATAGAAATCTGACCTGCTTTATTGATTTATTACTGATTTATTGATTTATTATCAGTTTAAAACCGTGTAATCTAAATATATGGAAATTTGATATGCAATTAAAATACACAAATCTTAAATTTAGGCCTAAATATTGTTTTGAGTAAATATCTTGTTATTTGCTGTCTGATTTCAAACCTAGCCTGATGCTTCTTGACAAGCTGAATATATTGAATATATACTTGAAGTATTTTTATGAAGCTTGATAGTCTGTTTCAGTGTATGCAGCTGCTTGAACATTCTTCTAAACATCTCCTTGTGTGCTCCATTAAAGAAAGAAAGTGATGTACTGTAGGTCTGGACTGACACGAGGGCCAGTAAACAACACATATTTTATTTTAGATGTTTCCTTAGAGTTAGAGGTAAACTTAGTCAATCTTGAAAAAAGGCATTCCACCAAGTCACTATAACCAGATCTACATAAGGTTTTAGAGACGTCTGACCTCCCGAAGGCCTTGCCCTGCGCTGATGGTCTTGCGGTGTAGTAATACTGTTTATACTCATCCATCCAGACCTCAGCAGCTCTCCGCGTGTTCCTACAACACACACAGAAAACATAACAGCCATTCATTCATACACTGCAATGCAAAACATATGATTACAAGCTACATAAAGGCCAATCTACTTGATGTAGGTGAGTGCGTTGCCCTCTGGGAAGTCATAAGGATGGCGTTTCCGGAAGACGTGGCCCACGCGACTGCAGGGCAGGATCTCAAGACTGCCGCCACACATCCACACTCTGAACGACAGCTCTACAGCATCACAAACGGAGGAGAACGGGAGAGAAATAGAAAGAACTGCATTTATGCATGGAAGTAAACACAGAGACATTAAAAATATTGTTACAACTGCCCTGAAAAAACTACAGAGGCTTCCCAATAGATATTTTTTTTCCTAAGCAGCCACAACTGCGAGAAACAGGACATTTTGTAGTTTCTGTGGCTTAGATTAGAATACAAAAATGACTTGTAATGTCGTAGTTTTACTTTCATCGTGGGCAGATAAATTGCTTGTGGAAAACTGAGCCTGATTAAGACATATGGGACACAGGGATAGTAACAAAAATATACAAAAAATGTAGAAAAGTATAATATTAAAGCAATTTCCAACAAGACTCTGATTTAACCAGTCGAGGGCTCTAAACACAGCCTAATGCGCACACACACACACACACACACAAACACACAAACACACACAGTTTAATTTTAGCGCTATCTACTTATAGTTTTTAATAATTCCCTAATATAATTAATATTTTCCCTTACGAAAAAGAAGTTTATTCAAGTGTGCTATTAGTATACTTCTTTTAAACTAAAAAATAGGATAGTATGCTTTCAGTCTACTTTTTATGTACTTCTCAGAAATGGGCTCTATGTACTTCTCAGAAATATACTTAAAACGACATTTAAAGGGGTCAAAGATAATTATTTAGTGTATTTGGTGTAACAGAATATGTTGACATGCTTTAATGTTCAAAAAACACATTATTTTTCAAATACTGTACATTTCTCGCTCGCTCGCTTAGGGTTAGGTTAGCGCGCGCACGCACACACACACACACACACACACACACACACACGATGCGCAGAACTCCGCATATGAA